ATGTTAGGGCACCTGACCAAGCCAAATTCCACAAGCAACAACTATAAAAACCGTGGATTGAACAGGGAAACTAGTAATGTGTTGTGGGACGCAGAACGGAAATTAAATGTTAACGGGAGGAGCAACTCAACGAACGCCTCAAAAGGCAAGATTTGAAGGTAAACTTGACTTAAAACAAGAAGGAAAAATGTGCATGAGGATTCCTAAATGTTGAGGAAAAGAATTGACCATCAATCATACCTTCACTAGGTGAGCGTTTGCCAGGCTTCGTTGAAATATCTACGATAGATTTTAACGTCTTTTCCTGCTTAAAAGTTTCTTAAGGGCTCTCCAATATGATAGTTTATAGTAATGAAAGATTCGGAGACGAATAGGAATCACATCTGGCGTGAATTAAGGCTCTCTGCATGCAGAGAGGTACCAACAAGCAAAAAGAAGGAAATCAATAGCAAGAATAGAGCATTGCAAATTTGACTTTTTAAAACCTCCGCATAATATTGGTTGCTACTATATTAAAACTCAAAACAAGCTAAAAATACATATTATTAAGCTATAATCTACTATTAGATAAAATAATGCATTATATCGAACGATTACTTACGACCTCCAGCGGCTCACATACAGGAGGCTTTCCAGTCTGTTGTGATGGTTGATGACGATTTTGCCCTCGACTGGCATGTTTCGAAGTCGCGGGACGAGAACAAGGCCCTGATGGTGACGCCGAGCCATGAAAATGTGCTGACGCAGGCTTCCCACTGTCGACTTGGCGAATATGTGGAAATTTACTGTCGCCTGAAATCTGGCATAAGGAAAAACTGGCGGCCAGGGCATCTGATTCAGCCGCCACCTGGCAAAATGGAATAAGGTTAAGTATGATGTGTAATTAAGAAAAAGGCTAGATGAAATTAAGGAATTGGTGGGATAAAGAGAAAAATAATGGAGCAAATAAATTGAGGGAAATTTGAGGGATGCAAAATAAATTTAGCGAGGTATTTTTGAGCCAAGAGGTAGAGTATTATAGATTGTAGCAAGACAAAGCTAAAAGTGTAGTGACGTAAAGTATACTAAAAGTAATGGCATAAAGAAAGTGTAAAATGATTTACTTGCACCACTACAATCAGACGCACTGTAGATGATAATTGACAGTAGAACTAGTGAGGAAAATCAAGTAAAAATTAGGATCCAGGTTATGCTAGAGAAAATAAAATCTTGCAACTGAGCAGGTAAGAGCGCAAATTAAAATCGTTATATCTACTTAACTCATAATTAAAGTCTATTGTAGGTCTAGGAAGAATTAAATAAAATTCGTCAGCTTTGAAATCTAACTCAAGTTTTGCCATATTTGTGAGTGAATCAATATTCGTCTGAAAAAGGAAAAACTTGATACTGGTTGGCTGGCGTATGCGTATCCTAGATGCAGGAAAGTGGGCCAACGTGATGCAGGCAGGGGAGTGGATCTGGTAACAACTTTTGCCTATGTAAATAAACTAGAGCATGATCCAGAAATCCTGAGTCTTGTTACAGCTTCGTGGATGCGTGTTTGCGTGTGTATGCAACAGCTCCGAGTTGGTTGACAATTTTAGGTTGTAAAACAGGCTCAAGTTTAGTCTGGTCTTCTCCTCCTACTCGATTGCTCTTCCTGTTCCATTTCTTTTTTCTGCCTCTCTTTCTTTCATTCTATTTAGAAGTCAGAGATAGTTCTTATTTAGTTTCCTACATTCATTCTTCCTATTCAGGATGTTGTTTGTTTTGTTAATTTTAATCAACTCCCTGATATTCTGCTTAGCTG